AAGACAAACACTGTAGCAGTTATAAGCCCATTTCTGTGGCAGTGTAGCAATGATTCCTTCTTTATAAGAGTGTGAGAGGCCTGTGCCATCATTGTCCATGTCATTGTCATTATGGAATTGATGCCTCTAGGCATTAGGAAAATAAAGAGATGGACAGGGGATGCATGTGTGTGTGTGTGTGTGTGTGTGTGTGTGTTGTGTGTGTGTGCACGCGCGCACGTGTAAACAAAGAACGATAATTAGACATAGGATGCAGAAAATATGTTCCATTCAGAGAAGAATGTGATCATGAAAACCTGGTGTGGTGGACAGAGGAAGTGGTGGGAGTGATTTGGTCCAATGGGAGCATGAGGACACAGCAGAGAAGATAGAATAGATGTCATGGTTAGAAGATTAGTAGTTTGGTTTGAATGAGGGGAGTGTGAAAGACAGAATCCCCCCCCCCCCCCCCACCAAACCAAGGTAGCCACCTGTGAAAATATTACTGTTCATGGCGAAAGGGGCTTTGCAGATGTGGTTAAGGCGCCTGAGATGGGAAGAGGCCTGCATTATCCAGGTGGGCCCAATCTAATCACGTGGGTCCTTAAAAGCAGAGAAACTTTTGCAAGCTGAGTTGAGAGTCAGAGGGAGATGGGACCGAGGAGGAATGCTCAGCGAAGTGAAAGGTTGCTGGCTGTGAAGGTGGAGAAAGGGGGCAACCGCCAAGGAATGTGGGTGCCCTCTCGAAGCTGGAAAAGGCAAGGAAACATTCTGTCCTAGAGCCTCCTGCTGCTTCCCTGATTTCAGCCCAACGAGAACTGCATTGGATCTCCGACCTACAGAACTGTAAGATGACGGTTAAGCTGTTTTAAGCTGTGAAATGTGTGGTGATTTGTTACAGCAGTAATAGAAAACTGACGGAGGATTTGTTTAGATTAGAGGTCTTGGAGTGTGGAAAGGAAGGCTGGGATCAGACGGAGGAGTACGTTGAAGCTAAGGTAAAAATTCTGATATTTACACCTAGAAAACAGCAGGGTGAAATGGGGTGGTGGTGTAGAGTTTTAGGAAGAACTACCTGGCAATGCTGTTTTGCTGACTGTTTGGAATGAGAAGAGCATTGGGTAGAGAAAGCAAGTAAACCTCAATCAAAAAAGCAAGCAGTAAAATGGTGACTGGGCTTCAGTGGAGGTGGGTATGGACAGGGAGATGCGTTATTTTGAAGGAATTGGCTACAGGTTTGATGACTCCATGCGGGAGAGTTAGCTAATGTGTGGCCTGAAGGTTTGCGCCCTCGGAATTCACAGTGAAACCTCGTACTTGGGGCTTTTGGGAGGAGATTAGGATTATGAGGTCGGGAGGGCAGAGCTCATATGAACGGGATTAGTGCCTTTGGGAGAGTCTCAAAAGGGCTTGCTGTTTCCCACCACATGAGGATTCAGGAGAGAGAGCCGTCTTCAAACCAGGAAGCGAACCCTCACCCAGACTCTCCATCTTGGACTTCCCAGTCTCCAGAACTGAAAGAAATGCTTGTTGTTTCTTCTATGGCAATTTGTCAGAGCACACCGAATTCACTAAGGAGGTCAAGGATGCCTCAAAGTTTAGGACCGACTAAACAATGTTGAAATCCAGGGGAGCGGGCAGCTGGTTTCAGGGAGAGAAATTAGCTGGTTTCAAACATGTTGACTTTTATGAGAACGGTGAGTAATTGGGGCAGGAATTCGGAATAGGGGCTGGCCCTGAGGAGAGGACAGGCAGACCCAATGTGATCCCGCTGTCCTGCTGGGAGCAGAGTTGTGCTATGAATATGAGAATAGCTATGGTCTCTGGGGTGTATTTGTAGGTGGAGGTCAAGGGACAAAAGAAGGCGATTTGTTTACTACGCTCCTATGTGTGAGGGACTGGGCTGCTGTGAGGGCTCTGGCCTCAGGTCAGGGGAGTGAGCACCTGGCTGTTCTCAATAGGCTCCTTGCATGTGGCCATAATGAGCAAAACAGGTAAGAAGACAAGGGCATGCAGGTGTGTGGTTATTTACACTGCCTGCCTGGAGCTGGTGGGAGGTAAAATAAAAGCTGCTTCATTTCACTGCCTTCTCTAATAAGCAGGCTCAGTTCCACCCTTTTATACGAATTCTTTCCCTCATGATTTCACTTTACCTTCCTCACAAATCCTTCCCCAAGCCCCTTCCAGACTTTTCCCTAAGGAGTTACACAGGCCATGTGCCGTTGTCCTCATCTGTCCTCTGAAGCAGAACTACTTCACTGTGACATAAATACCCTGAGGTAGGACCCCCATCAGCAGGCGACCTGGAGGGGTTCAAGTGCAGAGCAGGCTGAGACTAGCTCTACTGGGCCAAGCTCCTGATGTGCGCTGGCCTCTTCACTTTTGTGCTCCAACAATGCATACTTGGTACAATTGTCCTATTGTTTTTGTCTTCTCATAAGGTCTAGTCCATTTCTCGTTCTATAATTTACTAAGAACTCATTTTATTCTAATGAAACTTGGTGCTTCTCTTCCTCCTCTGGAGAGTTCCTTTTATTGATGCTGCCCTATTACTTACAACAATCTTATAAAGTAGGTGTAGGTGGCAAAGAATATCTTTCTTCCTGTTTGTACTCTTTAGGTGGTCGTGATTGACGCTTTCAGCAAACCTGGAGAGAAAAATGGATCTGTGGTTTAAAAACGGATCTATGGAGGGAGGAAATGGTTCACTAGCACTAGGTCTACTCTTACCAAGCTGGACAGGTATTGAGAAGAAACACGTGGCCCTAGCTGGTTTGGCTCAGTGGATAGAGCGTCAGCCTGTGGACTGAAGGGTCTTGGGTTCAATTCTAGTCAAGGGGATATGCCCGGGTTGCAGGTTTGACCCCCAGGAGGGGCGTGCAGGAGGCAGCCGATCAATGACTCTCATCATTGATGTTTCTCTCTTCCTCTCTGAAATCAATAAAAATATATTTAAAAAAAATACATGTGCTTTTTTTAAAAAAAATCTTCTACATGTGCTTTTTATTAAAGACTTCTATAGAAACTGAAGAAAGGCCATAAATGGTTCAAATACTACAACAGGATTACTCATAACTTGGAAGGATATTCAAACTACACTCTTTTCACCACTGAGGAGCTCTTTGAAACAGGATGGCTGTTGTAACTACAAATAGGAAAAAAACCTTATTCTGAGTAAGGTTACCTCTTATTTCATGTGCGTGCAGATCTTGGACTACTTAGAGTCCTCGCTGGTATGGGTGGGAAAGGGAATGCTTTCACCTTCTAGACCTTTAGTCATAAATTTAGGATTCTTGCAATATGGAATGAGATCTTAGTACTAAAGCCCGGATTTCCCAGGGTAGCTAGTAGTTGTAGGACGCTATGGGCTCACTCAGAAATCTCTCTGCACAAGTGTGTTTCAGGGGTAAGCCATGCATTCTGATGAGGTTCCTGAAGGGAAGGCCTGTGGATGCCTTATGACATTGTGAGGAGGTGGGACTGGTAGGAGAGGACTGATATTTTCTGGAGCTTAAATCTTCATACAAGTGTCTAAAGTTGTCTATCTTCCATGTTCTCATCCTGGACCTTTAGTGTATTGACTAAGGGATGGAATATGGTTCCTGCTGGTTTTAGTTGTAACTAAAAGTTCTGAAAGTACTTATGGATCTTTAATCTGTAAATAGAATTGAAGATCTGACATGTGCCAGCTTACTCCAAAACAGAATATAAAATCCTCATCAAAATAGGACGCACTTTTGCTGTAAGTAATCATCTGTTCGATGCTTGCGCTTCTTGTGCTTGTGCCTGGAGTGAAGAGCCCATGAATAGTCAGTCAGTCAAAAAGACAAAGTGAGGAATGGGTGTAGCCATAAATTAATAGGTTTGAAGATAAAAAACACATAGAGCAAATAATAACCAAAACAGTTTATATTATAACTTAAATTAGGATTCTTTCACATGAAAAAAAATAGCAAGCTATAATGCTTTTTCTACCCTCTTAGGAAAAGGACATTAAAAAATGCTGAACATTGACATTAATTTCCACATTTCACATTTGCTATCCATAATTCCACCAAGACCTATTTCACGAGTCCTTTATACAGTGCTTCACATTGTGATTATTATTCTAGAATTGCATTTATTAGCCTGTGGTTATTGAGCACTTGGAATGTGGCTAGTCCAAGATGAGATGTGTTTATAAATGTAAAATATACCAGAATTTGGAGAGTTCGTATGAAAAAATAATGTAAAAACCCAACTTTTATATTCACATTTTGAATATATTATATAAATTTCCAAAATCAGTTTCATTTAAAAAATATTTTTAAATGTGGCTACAATAAAATAAAAATTATATGTGGCTCACATTAATTATACTTCCGTTGGACAGCGCTGGGCTAGAACATCTGAAAACAAAGTGGCTATAGCTTTAACTGACCAATATCTTATATACTATCTGCTTCTGGAAATGGGAATTGCAAAGTAAAATAACAATCTGGCTGCTTTTGTGCAAGCTTTTAGTTTTTTTTCTAATGAACATATATTACCTTTTAAATAGAAAAAGTAAAAATGTTATGTTCTGTCTACAATCTTAGATTTACAAAAAATGTGGCATAGAACAATTAAACCACATCTCCCTAGTACTTGTTTATATATTTTGCACTTATAGCAGGTGACAAAAATGAGGCACATAGAGGTGGGAGTGGAAATCTGGGTGACACAGTTCACTATCTACTACACGGAAATTATAATCCTTGTTCAAGTTATTGCGGAAACTCCTGCTCGGTGACTGGCGATGTGGCTGTGCAAGCCACTGTGCTCACATCCTCCCTGCATCTCCACGAGAAAGAGAACCTGCTTTTCTGGCACTTAACGATGGCAGAGTAGGTGCAATTTTCTTTTTTTTTCACATCTAGCATATAAGTGAGAACTTTTACTATGAAATTCACTAATTCTAATCACCTGACATAAAGAGACTTGTCCGTAAATTATTTAAAACATGACTGGTTAAAGATTTTCAGTAAAATATGCTACAATGCTTTTTTTTTCTTATTGGTTAAGAGCAATTTATTTTGAAATGTTGCTTTTGTGTTGTTTCCTGGGAACATCCTGGAACACTTGTTTTCAACAGCCTTCTCTGACGAGGCCCGATCCCAGCCACCACGCATCAGGCCCTTCCGGGAGGTCCCTTGACGTCTGAAGTTCTAGCTAATACTGTGGAGCATTCACTTCCTCCTCAAAGGCAACGGGCACAACCACCCCCTGCCGCTGCAGCTCTCGGAGAACATCCAATATCGAGTCTAATTCTGTGCGGAACTTGTCCAGCTCACGATTCTTCAACTGTGCGAGTCTTTTCCATTTCTCAATTTCTTTGTTTTGCTCAGTTTCTACTACTTGGTGTGTCTGCTGTATTATCTGTAAATAAAAAAAAAAATTTCATCTCAGTGTTAGAGTTCACAGTGGGGGTGAAGGACATTTAACAATTCCGAAGAGCTAACGTGGGACAACGCGACAACAGTGAAGCTGTGGCCTGCACAGGTTTCACTGTGTAACAAACAGGATTGCAGGGAAGGTGGTAAGAAGAGGGAAATTTAGTATCTAATTCTGCTAGGGAGTTTTACAGTATTTTTTTTAAAGCTGTGAATAAGAGTACCATTTAAAGCATCAGAAATTATTTCTAATACCTTGGTATGAATCCAAACAAATCCAATTTGGTCAAGGTGCACACCCAGCCTGTGGGAGGCAGCCTGGCCCCAGAGTCCCTGCTGTTAACTATCACACTAGGCTGTCTTGCTTTTGGGGGTCAATTTTTTCAATGATGAAGTGAGGGTACCCTGTCAAGTACCTTAAGAGAATCATTAGGCACAAGGATTGCAAACCACAGAAAGCTAGACATACAAAGACTAGTTAGGGCAACAAAACCAATAATGTTTCTAAATGTTAAACATGCTAAACATCTTCAATATAATTTTTTTTTAATCTATAATCCTGCCTTGCTATAGAATAACTTCATGATTCTAAAATAAAAGCACTTCATAAACATTGTGTAAACAGGTGCTTGAGTTAAGGGGAACACAAAATGCTGCATAAATGTTCCATTCTAAGCTAACACCATCACCTCATGTAGTTTCAAAATTGTTTCCTTGTGATGAAAATTTGATTCACTTTCCTAGCAATTTTCAAAAACACAATACAGTATTGTTAACTATAGTCACCATGCTGTACATTACAGCCCCAGAACTTATACTGGATGTTTGTGCCTTCTGTCTTTATCAAGTCTCACCCCCAATTTTATCTATGAGGTTTTTTTTGTTTTGTTTTTAAGATTACACATGAGGTCAAATAGTATTTGTCTTTCTCTGACTTGTTTCACTTAGCATAATGCCCTCAAGGTCCATCCACATTGCTGCAAATGGCAGAATTTCATTTTCTATGGCTGAGTATTGCTGCATTGTATGTATACACCCACATTTTCTTTATCCATTCATCCATCAGTGGACATTTACATTGTTTCTGTCCTAAACAATGCTGCACTGAACATGGGGGTTCAGCTCTTTGGTGTAGTGATTTTTGTTTCCCTCAGATATGTAAAGTGGAACTGCTGGATCACTTAGAACTGTTTTCAGTATTTTAAGGAACCTCCATACCGTTTTCAATAGTGGCTGCACCAATTTACATGCTCACCAACAGTGCAGAAGGGCTCCTCTTTCTCCACATCCTTACCAGTACTGGTTATTTATCTTTCTGATGACAACCATTCTAAACGGCTGAGGTGGTATCTCATTGTGGATTTGACTTGCATTTCCCTAATAATTAGTGAACTTGAGCACTTTTTCATGTACCTTGTTGACCATTTAAATATTTTCTTTGGAAAAATGTCTATCCAGGCCCTTTACTCATTTTAAATCACATTATTACTTTTTTTTGGTATTGAGTTATGTGAGTTCCCTGTATATTTTGGATATTAACTCCTTATAAGATGTGTGGTTTCCAAATACTTTCTCCTACTTCATGTTGCCTTATTTTATTTTGGTTTGCTGCCTTTTCGTTTTGTTGATTATTTCTTTATCTGTGCACTTTCTAGCTTAGTGTAGTCCCACTAGTTTACTTGTTTTGATGCTTGTACTCTAAGTCTCATATCCAAAAATTATTAAGGTACTTATCAAGGAGTTCTTTCCCTGTTTTCTTCTAGGAGTTTTATGGTTTCAAGTCTTACTTGAAGTCTTTAATTCATTATGAGTGATGTAAGACAGGGATCTAGTTTCATTCTTTTGCATGTGGATATTCAATTTACCTAGAATCATATATCAAAGGGACTATCATTTTTCCACTGAGTATTCTTTACTCCCTTATCAAATACTAGTTAACTGTATATGCATAGATTTATTTCTGGGCTCCTGATTCTATTTCACTGGTCTATGTGCCTCTTTTTATTGCAAGTACCATACTATTTTGAGTACTGTAGTACTATAGCTGTGTAATATAGTTTGAAATTAGTAAGTGTGATGCCTCCAGCTTTGTTCTTTGTTAGGATTGGTTGGGCTATTTAGGGTCCTTTGTGATTCCATATGAATTTTAGAACTCTTTTCTTTTCTAATTATAGTCATGAGCTACTTAACAAGTGGGGATACATTCTGACAAGTGTGTTGTGAGGGAATTTTGTCATTGTGCACACATAATAGAGTACACTTATACAAACGTAGGTGGTATAGCCAAGAGCTTGGACTAATAATTTCCTCAAGCACAAGGGAGAACACAGAATTCATTTTCCTTGAGCACACAGGGGTTGTGACTGATGCAGGTGAGCCAGGTTGTAAAGGTAAAGTCGCTTCATCCACAAATACTTGCAGTGACAATCACTGCGTAGTAGGCCTAGGCAGGTTAGCAAGTGCAATGCAGCTCCTTAAAGCCTCACTGGTACCTAATACTTATGAGGAATTTAGCAGTGTATGTTGCCATAAAAGGAGTTTATATTCAGTTAAATGTGTGTCAGAGTCTCCTTCAGTGTTGATATTCTCAGTGAGAAAAAGAAAGCATTCCCTGCACATTTAAGGCTTTTTTCCTTTGTGAACAGTCAGGTGTCTAAGGAAGCTAGGTTTTTGGCTAAAAAATTTCCCATATTCACTACAGTCATAAAGCTTAGCACCAGTGTGAATTCTCTGGTGCTGAGTGAGGTTATAGCTTTGACTGAAGGAATTCCCACAATCAGGACACTCATATGACTTTTCTCTAGTGCAGTGATGGCGAACCTTTTGAGCTCGGTGTGTCAGCATTTTGAAAAACCCTAACTTAACTCTGGTGCTGTGTCCCATATAGAAATTTTTTGATATCTGCAACCATAGTAAAACAAAGACTTATATTTTTGATATTTATTTTATATATTTAAATGCCATTTAACAAAGAAAAATCAACCAAAAAAAAGAGTTTGCGTGTCACGTGACACGCGTGTCATAGGTTCGCCATCACTGTTCTAGTGTGAACTTTGTGGTGTTTACTGAAATTAGACTTTTCACTGAAGGACTTCCCAAAATCAGTACATTCATATGGCTTTTCACCAGTATGAACTCTGTGGTGTTGGATGAGGGTAGATCTAGGACTGAAGGACTTTCCAATCACTACACTCAATATATCTTTTCTCCAGTGTGAACTCTGTGGTGGTGAATAAGGGTAGAGCTTCGACTGAAGGACTTCCCACAATCAGGACACTCATATGGCTTTTCTCCAGTATGAACTCTGTATGTAGAACGAGGGTAAACTTTTGTCTAAAGGACTTTCCACAATCACTCTACTCAGATGGCTTTTCTCCAGTGTGAACTCTTTGGTGTTTTATGAGAGCAGTGCTTTCACTGAAGAACTTCCCACAATCAGTACACTCATGGGGCTTTTCTCCAGTGTGAATTCCATGTCGATAGAAGTTAACAACACGTCTAAAAACTTTCCTACATTTGTTACCCTCATAATTCACTTCTGCAGAGCATATACCCTGACGCTGAACAACTTTCTGCAGCTTTTTCATATTCACCCCACTGATAAGTTTTTCCACTGAGAAATTCCTGTGAAATCTCACTGCCACTGTGTGGCTCTCCACTGTTGAGAGTGGTCTGGTGCTGGAGAAGCCATATGATGCCTGCGAAGACTTTCCCAACCTCCCTACTGATTGAAGGCACCCAAGATAAGTAGAAGTTGCATCTGCTCACAAACGAGGCCTTGTCCGTAGCGTCTTTCCAAGACTTCTCTCCACTGGCATCCCTCTGTTGCTAGTGAGGGTTTGCAATGAAATAGAAGTTTCTCAAACATGCGTCACTAAAGAAGCTTTTCTGCTCAAATAATGCTGCTTGTGACTCCGTCAGGTGTAAAATATCTTTTAACACCGAGACACACCACTTACACATGAGTCTTCTGGGTTGCTGGAGCTGTCTTAGAAGGCCTGATCTATGACTCTCCTTATACATATGCACTCTCTCAGAAAAGGCCTCTGCATCATCTGTTTTATGCCAACCTACAGATGCTACAAGTGCAAAGACTTCCAGCATCACATTGCAGTACAGAAATCTCTGAGCCTCATCAGGGAGCCCCCACTCTTCCTCAGAGAAGGCAATGGCCACGTCCTCAAAGTTCCTATCTGTTCTGGACCCTGAGACCTGGGCTGCAGGACCTGAGAGGCACCCACACCTGAAGCTGGAGGGTTAAATTGGGTGAAGTTGAGTTGAACTCTGTAAGCAGAAAGGAGTCTGGGAGGCACAGAAGCCCCAATCCCGCAGGTTGCAGCTCAACAAACCTCAGACACACAGTAGGGAATCTGCCGCTTCCTACTCATGATCCTCTGCCCATTTCTAATCTGATTTATTTTGGGGGGGGGGGGGGTGTTGTATGAATTCCTTATATATTTTGGAGATTAACCCCTTCTTGGATGTATCATTGGTGAATGACTTCTCCCATTCAGTAAGTTGTATTTCCATTTTGTTGGTTTTCTTTGCTGTGCAAAAGCTTTTTAGTTTGATGTATTCCCATTGCTTAATTTTTTCTTTTGTCTAAGGCAGTGGTTCTCAACCTTCTGGCCCTTTAAATACAGTTCCTCATGTTGTGACCCAACCATAAAATTATTTTCGTTGCTACTTCATAACTGTAATGTTGCTACTGTTAGGAATCGTAAATGTTTATATCTGATATGCAGGATGGTCTTAGGGGACCCCTGTGAAAGGGTCATTCGACTGCCAAAGGGGTCATGACCCACAGGTTGAGAACCGCTGGTCTAAGGGAATATTCAAAACTATTAATAAGGGTGATGTCAAAGAGTTTACTCTCTGTTTTCTTCTATGATTTGGGATCTTGCTTAAGTCTTCAATTCATTTGGGATTTCTTTTTATATACAGTGCAAGAAAGTGACACAATTTAATTCTTTTGCATATATCTGT